ATTCTTTTAAATCTGTAAAATAATGTGCTCCTTTTTGTACATAAAATTTGATTCATGAAATGAGTATGAAAGTGAAGTGTAAGTTCCCAGTTAGCAAAAAATAGCTTTCTTTTAACAAAAACAGTTTATTTGGTTACCTGAATATTGTATACATTCTCTTGTACCAGAAGGAGAACAGTATATCTAAATCCTGTTTAATGGACATTTGACATTACTGAAAATTACTACTTGCATTAAGAAAACTAATCATGCTTATATACAGTTAAGCACAGAAAATTAGTGAATCTACTGTAGCTTGTCAGTGGCTAAACCTATTGTCATGCAATCACTCTGCTCTGATACTTTGTACAATTGTATTGAAATTACTCATACCTACCGTATCACAACTATTAACTACAATAATTGCCAAGGTTATTATCAGTGACACACAGACCTGTTTTTAGCAAATGTCTGTGTTTTGTATACATAATTGAGCTACAAATACAATTGTCATACGTCATACTCAGAAGGAGTATGAAGTATGGTAGTGAAATACTAGTGCAGTAGCCAGGGACTCAGGAAAGATTGATTAGTAGAGACAATTGACAAAAAAAGGTCAGTTCTAGTATAGTTTTTAATAATTATTTTGTCCTTTTAATAAGACAAACGTTTGCAGATAAGACTTAGCAATACTATAGAGAAATCCTTAAGGAACAAAGACCATGCAAAGAATAAGCTTTTTCCATTTTCCGTTTTTATGTTTCATTTTATTTCATGTCAAATTTCTGATTGTAGGAGAAATTTGCTCAGTCATGCTCACAGCACAGGAGGGTGTGTGTGTGTGGAGGGGGAATAAATATTATCAACAGAAGCAGAAAAAGTACAGAGAGAAAACAAAAATAACTGAGATAATTATTTTACAGAAGAATGTTGTGAATACTGTGACAAACACTCACATACCCCATACAGAAACTAGAACACTGCTTAAACTAGCTGTTAAGCTGCTGGCTTAAAGCTGGTCTTATTTTCTATAGCGCTGCCAACTCAACATGCTGTCCTTAGGCAGCTGAACCCTCTCCAGAGGTGACCTTCAATGGACCTTTCTGTACTGTATGTACTGTAGGTGTGTCTCAGGCTTCCTTTATCAGAGTCCTGTCACTCTGATGGATCTTTCTAAGTAAAGTACAGGTCTGCCTGGTCATTCCTGGCAGGACCCATAGCACAGAAACATGACTTGAGGCTGTTGTTTTAGAGTACAAAATCTAGTTAGGACCTGGTAGCTTGGGACAGTTGAGTTTACACAAAGTTCAAAGTAAATATGATACATTTTTTTGTTTTGCTGGTATTTTCCCTCTCAGTATATAGAACAGTAGAAATTCATTAAGAGAAGGCAGAAATAAATCATATTTAATTACATGAAAGAAGCTTACATATGGGAATTATTGTGCTCAAAATTATTGTGTTCAGCTTTTTGAATTTGTTTTGTATCCCATAGTAATGCTGAAGGAAATTAACTGGACCTACAGTGCTCTATTTGAAAAATACAATCTCTAAAGAGCAGCCACATTGTAATACCTTTATACATGTAACTGTAATAGCTGCTATGTTGTATTTTAACAAAAGTCCTGAAAGCACCAAAGATATTCTGATGGAAAGCCATCCTGTGTTTGAGAATGTAGAAGAGCAGTTAACAGCAGGGATCTATTAAAATATATCACTAATGAATCTTAAGTTCCCAATGGTTAGCTTTAACCAAAGTCATCCATGCAGTTTACTGGAATAATTCTGCTAAAAGCCACTTAACATTTGTATTTGCAAGAACAAAAGCCTTTTGTTAACATGGTACTCATACACAAGAACATAATGGAGAAAAACTATGCTATGTTTTTGTTCTTCTCCTCAGATATATCTCCATTTTATTAGATACATTTTAGCTGGAATATAGTTCCCTAAACAAACAGGTTATAGAACTCTGCTGTGATCAACTTGGGGTGGTTCTGCCATGTGTTAAACCTCATACAGAAACTAAAACCATTTACACTTGCCATTGAAATGATTAGTTTATTCTGGTTTCATTAGCAGTTACCTAGACCTGGTAACTGTGGTGAATAGAAAACGAAATAATAGGAAATTATTATGCACAACATAAAACGTTGTTTTCTTGCATTATATAGTATAACAGAGTTTACTGTATGTTGGATAGATACTGTATTGGTTGCAGATATACAGTATGCATTATATCCATAGCTACAGGCTACCTGTTTGTCGATATATTGTATGTATTAAATCCAACATACATATTTAAGTTTTACAGTGATCCATAAAACATGAGGTACACAATCTAAATTGGGTTTTATAAGAACAAATATCCAACGTGACATTTTTAATTTACAAAATTAAAAAAGGAGTAGGGTTGAATTCATTGGGCAAGTGTTCCATTCTCCCAGTTTAGCTGGTTTGATCCATCATCAGATAATGTCTTTTTGGTTTGTTAATCTTCCAAGAACAGGAAGAAGGGCCCAGATGAAGAAACTCCAGACACTCTTCATTTGGAGCTCGCTTCTAGGGCCTTTAAAATTCACATGTGCTGTAAGAACAGGTGTTGCAGAACAAGATTCAGTGTTCTAAACGGCAGTGTATTCATCCATCACTAGAAGGCTCTGTATTCTAAATTGCAGTTGCTTATCCCAGAAGCAAAAGATCAAGACTGGGCTATACCCTACATGATATGCCAATCCATGGAAGAACACAAACACTGTAATAAAACAGACCTAAAAAACATGTTTTTGTAATATGGGAAGAAACCAAAAACCAAATCATCTGGAAAAAATTCAAGCAAATATCCACAGAATCTTAAAACTCCACAAAGAAAGCACCCAAGTCCAGAATAGAACCTAGGAATAGAACCATGGTATGAAACAGCCATGCCACTTTGCTTCTCTACCTACCTCTACCTATCTTCTCTACCTTAAGATCTACAATGATCTTAAGTGGAAATATACATCATCTAGTTATTATAATAAAATAACTATATTATCATAATTAGGTCACTAAAGTGGCTATTTTACTACTTTCATTTTGTGATTAGTATTAAAACTTAATTAATATTTGACAAGTTAAACAACAGTTAATTTAGAAAACTTTAAGTTAATTTAATGTTATAAAATTGCTGAATGGCAAAAAACTTACACATATAACCCATGTTTCACAAACACACATTAAACGAACTGAAGTAAACTGTTTTCAAAAATGCAACTGAAAATGACATGTTAGTACAACAACTCAAGAAAATGATAGAATTATTCTGCTTTTTCAAAATAGCACTGTGGCGTCTAAAGACGTATTTTCAACTCAACGTTTTACAGTTTGGATCAATAGAATTTCATTGAGTAGGTATTGACTGTATAATGTTAAAAAAGAAAGAAAATCAATACTGTTCCCTTTTGTTGACAGATTGAATTGCACATTTAAGCCTGGGGGGGTAATGTAAAATGAAAATTAAATGATTTGCTGAAAAGTGTATGGTAAACTAAAACCATAAATAATTATATATACCTGTTTATTCTTTGCATTACTATTACCTAACAGCTGAATGGGTTATATGCATGCCAGTATCTTTCTGAAGTATTGTGGTTATTAATCTAGTAATATGTATTTTGTAGGTCAGGGGTAATAAATTTGGAAAATAAAAAATGTAATGATTATTTAATTATTCCTAATAGACAGCAGAGATTAAGCTATAATTCTGTAGCCAGAGGTAAACAACAATATCGCCACAAAACACTATCCATCAGATATCTGCTACACTACATAAGATACTGCTACCTGTCCAAAAAAGCACGTTATCTGGGAACAAAAGGAACTACAGTGGAGTTATTTTGCTTTGCACTTTACAACATTTTATTTTATGTTTTTATTTACATAATGGATTTAAATATAGAGTAAGTTAAAAACACCAATACCTGTATGTTATCTTCCCATTCAGAATATGTTTTCTTGTTTTAAAAACATTATTTTGCTGTGAATTAAGACATTTTCTTCCGATAAGGAAATTGAGGTCTTAAGAAGATTAAATGAGCTGCCTTAGTTACCCTATTTGCACGAACCAAAACAATACGTTTGCCTGCTCTGAGCTGGCTTAGCTTCAGTCATTAATGGAAGTCTTTCATTCATGCAATGAATAAAGACAGTTCCAGAGGCAGACAGTAGGCTTTGAAAAAAACAGAAAGAATAAAAACCATGATGGCTGCACATTTTTTTATCGGCTTTGTGTCACATGAAAGCAGGAATGTAGCAGAATTGCTTTTTTTGTTCTCTTGTTATTTAATGTTTTGTTAGACTTGAACAAGCAACAGTATTGCAGCACACACCATAAAAGTCAAGAAAGTGCATCAAGTGCTTGTTTTGTAAATACAGTGTATATAAATACTAAGACTAATACTAATACTCTTTATTTTATATAGCACCTTTACAAATGGCTTCTTTAAGCACTTTATAGTAAGGGAAAAAAAGCAGACAATGAGAGGAGACAGCAGTATTACACAATTACAACAAGGGTATGGGATAAAGTAGGAAAGCAATTAAATAACAGCTTTTCCAAAGAAGGATTTGAGTCTAGATTTGAGAGTATTCAGGAATAGAATTCCAGAGCTTTCAGGCATACCAGCTTCATCACCCTGCAAGTCACAAATGGCAACCCACTGAAGTTAATTTGTGTGATCCTGGCCAGTACCTGGATGAGAGACCTCCTGGGAAGAACTAAGGTTGCTGCTGAAATAGGTGCTAGTGAGGCCGGTAGGGGGCGTTCACCCTGAAGCTTGTGTGGGTCCTAATGCCCAGTATAATGATAGGGACACTATACTGTAAAAAGGCTCAGTCTTTTGAATGAGACATAACACCGAGCTCCTTCTTCTGGTCATTAAAATGCCCAGGGTGTTTCTCGAAAAGAATAGGGCTGTAACCCCGGCATCCTGGCCAACTTCCACAGAGATAAACCTTACTGTGCTATTCTCCATGGCCTCTTCCACCTGCATGAAGGAATCCAACATGTACAGTAGTGTTTCTAACTCAGCAGGCCATGTACTGTAGCTGATTCAAAAATGAAACCATGAAACTATCTAAAGTAAAGAAAATCATTAATGCCTTTTCACAAGTCTTCCAGCGCTCAATTTCACTACTCAGACACCTTTCCCTGCCCATCTGCACTATCCTTCTCCTAACACCAATTTCTGGGCGGTACGATACACCTTCCACTATTTATCGACTTCATTATGTTCAAAGGGATATTCAGCATATTTTAATTTTATACCCTTCAAATGATCTGTGCCTTTCTGCTTTTTGAAAGCTTCTCTTCATGGCTCAATCTTTGCTTGAAATTCACTACCTTATTCATGGACCTTACAAAGTGTTTTTATTGTGAAAATCATATGAACCATTATTATTAATCACAGCCAGGCAATTCAACTAATTGTGTGACTTGTCAAAATAATTTCTGTGCACCTGAACTGATTAAGATTTGTCATAGCAAAGGGGGTGTAATAAACTCCCTGCTAGTGACTGGCATGAGCACCATGGCGACCTCCTGTGTGAAAACTTATCCCATCTGTCCTCAGCTACAGATAAACTCATTTTCACTATAAATTAACCAAGGGCTTTAACCAAGAGACTGATGTTAACTGGATAACACTGTGATATGTCTTCAACTTAAAGAGACCTAACTAGTGACGGCTGCAGCAGAGTGCTCTGTTCCAAGCATATGAAAATGCCCAAATTTAACTGGTGTGAAAATGCCTGCACCAATCTTTTTACATAAACCTTTAACCAAAACCTTATATGGTTCTTCAGATGTCTCAACCTACCAAACTCCTCAAAACAACAGCTGTTAGATTAAAGGGGGTCATAATAAACGTATTTTGGTTTTTGATTTTTATTTGCAGTTTTTGATGGCTTTTAATATGTTTCATCAATAAATGTCTTTAGTTTAAGAATTCAAGTATTCATTAAATATAACATTTAAAAGTACAGTATATGCATCACAATTCAACAAAATGGGACTTCACTGGAACTGGATTAATTATTTTTAAGGAGTCAAAAATAAAACTTAATTTAAGGCTCAATGACTAATAGAATACTTTACTTAAAGAAGCAGACAGCTGAAACAGTTTCAGTCTGGATTAATTTTCATAATTGTGTGCTTTCTTCATAAGACAATTATGTACTGACAATTTGCTAAAAGCACATTTATCCTGGTCATATTGTTTTTGTATTACAGTACAAACGAAAATATTTTGTGGCATTTCACTTTAGAACTACACACAAACAAGTAACGTGACAGTAATTTAGCAACCATATATACTGTACAGTATATGCTGTGATTTTTCTGAATAGGTAGTTCTAAGCTTGGGATGATGTGTCATTTGGCTCTGCATCTCCCGCAGCACCTTCATACAAAGGATTGTGAAATGAGTAATCTGTGTCTCTTTTCCCAGTGTAGACGTCCTGTTGAGAAATGGAAAAAAAAGCACAGAACACAGTTTTTACCCACTTAAAGCTTTAAGTAAATTTGAACTGACTGGTGTTCTTTGTGATCAGATTTTGTATAATTTACTGTATAAGCAACTTTCAATTAGAAAAATTGTATTTTAGAATAAATGTATTTTATCTTGTTTATCTTAATATTTATTAAAATATCTAAGAATTAGTTACTCATAGGCCTTAACATCCACGCACACACAAAAGAACAGATTTATTGCAACTGAAAAATTGATTTTCTTATCTCACATTGAAGTGTGTTTAGGATCATTATCTACTCTGTCAGCTTCTCCGGAGGTGAACAACACAATGCACTGCCATATTACAACATTAATGCTAATCCCAGATGGTGTCGACAGATAATCAAGGTCAAGATTTCAAAAAAGTCCCTTGTGCTTTACTATTGGTGACCAGAAGTTTATTTTCTTTTACTGAACAATTCAATTGTTTGTACTGAAGAGTGTTGAAAAAAATTTGAATAAGTCAACATCAACATTCCAAAACACATGATAAATGTTGACCTTTCCATGCGGATAACATGATCATTTTAATACATATATATATATAACCAGCAAACATTATATGCACATACATTTAACTGTAATAATGCAGTTAACTGTCACAATGCAGACTGTGACAGTTACAATGTCAGTACAGACTACAGTATGTGCTGGAAAAAAACATTATACTGTACTGTACACACTATAAAATTACTTTATATCTAACTATCATCTGTATATACTAATGCTGTCATATTCAAGAATTTCAGAACATGTCAATATGGCAATTTGTGTACTAATTTGCATTAATTGCTAATACATATGATAAGGTGGTGCGTTGGCTCTGTGGCTAAGGATCTGTGCTTGTGGCTGGAAGGTTGCTGGTTTGTGAGCAAGGCCCTTAACACCAACTGCTCCAGGGGTGCCGTATAAATGGCTGACCCTGCGCTCTGACCCCAAACTTCTCTCTCCCCGTCTGTGTGTCTCATGGAGAGCAAGATGGGGTATGCAAAAAGACAAATTCCTAATACAAGAATTTGTATATGGCCAATAAAGTGATCTTATCTTATCTATATAAAAAGTATAAAAAGAACAAAATATAAAAATGTTGGATATATGCTTTATTTATTTATTAATGCAGTATTTAAATTTGCAATTCAATTTTATTTATAAATGCTGATGTAGACAAACAACTTCAAAACATAAGACAGTAATTCATATTTAGTAATAATATCCGAACCATGCTTTTAACAGCATGAAAGCATAGATAATTAAGAGAAAAATAATTACAGGAAGTAAATTGTAGAACAAAATAGCATGCCACAGCATGGAAAATAAAGAAGCATTTGAGTAACAAAGCAAAAACAATTAAAGTTGATACATGTATTATCAAAAAAGTTTTAGGCTGCTCACTGTTATGTGCTTTAGAGATACAGTTCTATAAATTGCACTAGAGAGAGCAAATTTTGATCCCTACCTCCTGTAGTTTCAGCCATGGATAAACACTAATATGAACACCAGGGATTTCATCACTTAAGGGGGACTGGAAGAAAAAAAAACACAGCAGTGGGATCTCGGTTAGGCATGACACTCACAAACTTTTAACATTGAGCTCTGTGGAAGAAGTACTCTTATTATGTAGACACACAGCCATACAATTTCAGACATTCCACTGAATAATGAAGGTGGACATACAGACCCAGTCATTCAGAATGCATGCCAGATAATGCAGCACATTGTGCTGCACACACCAGAGACTACTAAAGCACACTGCCTTTAAAAAATATGCCGTTGCGGGACTGCACTACTTCATAAAACCACCAGGTGGAACAGTGAATGCTTAACATGGCATGTGGCAGAAGTTGGCCTATTGCAAAAAATGGTCTGGTTTTGTATCCCGGTCAACGCTGAGCCACTTGAGAGAATTTAACTTGTATAATGTTTAGACTTTTATTAATTTTAAACTGTGTATTACTGTATGTTGAATATTAAACTAATTTAAAAATAAAGCTATTTTACAAAACAATACTACTCAGTTGTGTATATAAAAATAGTTTATTACTATAGTAGTAGTTAATTGTGAACGTGATGTGCTTCTTTCAGATTTACATCCGCACTGAGATAATATATATTTTGTCCTGATGTAAATTTTAGTAATGAGTAATCAGGAAACAATTGAACTTTATCTTTTATTATGAAAAATATATTTCACACATATTGTACTGTAGCGGCATTTAAAGCCAAAGCCTTTGTGATTACTGGATAGTTCATACAGTACTTCCAAATTGCTTTGTCAGTCTGTCTCAGAGGTGGGGGGGGAGCGGGTGTCACCTTAATATCTGATACTCTTCTGTTCACTTAAGTGATCATGAATGTCCAGTGAATATTTAATATGCTGACATATACAGTAGAAAATTAATAAAACATCACTGTAAAAATCCTGATACAGTATATTTACAATTTATTTACAATTGGTTTCATTTGCCATTGCACTTTTAAGTTGCATCACAAAGAAAATAAAGTTGCATCACAAAGAAAATAAAAATGGTAGTAAATGTTTCCAATATAATCACAAGTGACCGAGTCAAACAAATTGATGCAGATTTTTCAGAAGAAAGTGGAATATGGTACTACAACCAGCTATATAAACTTATTGATAAGTTTACTTATTGACTTATTGATATCACATTTTATCCAGTTTAGTCTTACAAATATGACAAAATACAATATTTATACAATAAATGGCTTTATATTTTTATTCATGTTATTTTCACCTTCTTTACACTGAATGTTTCCTATTCTGATTAGGTTGTGCAGGAAAGAAAACAAATTAATTCATCAAGGCAGTCCATACCACCAGCACATACAGTGAACTTTAATGTTTCACTCAAAAATGGAACATTCCTATTCATTCCTATTATCAAGAGACTATCAATTGGGCTGCATTGGATTCAGAATCAGGATTTAAATTATTTGCTTATCAGGTGGATATGGATTCAATTAACTACACTCTCTGCTTTGGATTACAAGATGTTTTTGTCCTTAACTTCATGTATATCAGTATCTTCTGCCTATACTCACTTCATTCTATATTAAAAATGATAGCATTTCTACCACATTTTTTGTGCCTTTTGTTATGGTGTTATCTTTTTTCTGTTAAAGGATATTCAGTATATGAATTTAGACACTACTTTTTCATTTTCTTCTTAGTATCTCTGAAATTGTAATGATTAAAGTTTCTGTGAAAGTATGTTTAAAGTAGATATACAGTAGCAGTAGTTCAGACTGAAATGGACATGCACACTGGGGAGCTGAAACTTCCATCTCTTAAAAAGAAACAGCAGGGGAAACCATTTCTGTAGAGTGCAGAGATACTCTATAGCCATTGAAAAGATGAAGACCTCAGTCCAGCTCTCAGGTGTCATTACTGTGGCTGTTCACATTGTGATTTACATAACTCCTACATTTAGAACCAACACATAGTCATAGGCCACAGAAACAAATTTGAAATCACACTTATGACATAACTAATTGCTTATAATTATTCTTAATTATTAGAATGGAATTGCAATTTCAAGGCTCATTGAGTCCCTTCCTTTTCAATACTCATAAAACCTTCCTTTATTCTGCCCACAATTCCTTTTTTCCTTGTATGAAAAAACCAATGTATGACATAAAACAACTTAAACAGATATACGAGGACCAATAGCCCTTCTCTGTCTTTTCCATCACAGCAACATAATGAACACTGTGCATTTGTTTTGCTTTGCATACAAAGGGAGACTAGCAATCTGAAGCCGACAAGAACATAAAAAATAAAATCTCACATATGAGAAGACAGTTTAAAGTAGACTTACTGTATGGCACAGGACACTATATTTATTGGAAAACTAGAATGTGTTATCACACTAGAATAATATTATACTGGTAGTAAAATTATTGATCTGCTTCATGTTACGCTGCGACCGTACACCAGGCACAGCCGCTGTGTGATTGGTCTGAATCCAAGAGACTGAAAATCCTAACTAACAATGGAGGGAAGGTAATGGAAAGAGCAGGTGAAACATAAATAATGAGATACTGGCCAATGGAGCTAAGAAAACACCCACTGGGCAGTAGGGAGAAGAAAGGTAAAAAAATAGGCCCACAGTTATGTCATGTCCAGTAGGCTACTCAGCAAAGAAGGGTCTGACCAGTCCAGTTGGGGGGAACCAGGAGCTAGCTGATTCAAGACACATGCTCTAAAGGGAGGTCTCTTCCAAGACTACTCCCGGAGTGTGCTTGATCTCCCAGCTGCAATCCTCCGATGAAGGGCACAGGGTCAGATGAAATTGGATTCCCTGGCACCTGATAGACTGAGCCTATGGAGACAACTGCTGAAGACGGGTCCTTGACCTTGACCCTCTCTAACTCCAGAAGTCCTTGGACAGCACAGTCTTGGACAGATCTCCCAGACAGAGCTCACGGAGCAGAATCACAGAATAAGGAAGGCTCCTATGTGACCCTGTAAGATGACCCAGTAAAGAACAAGGTAAAAAGCCATGGTGAAGATTAAGTGCAGGGCGAAGAATGAGACTGGAGCAGCAGTGCCAGGGTTGGCGTGCAGGACTGGAGTGCAGGACTAGTGTTTAGGGTAAAGGACTGATGTTCAGGACACAGGACTATCAGGACTGAAGTTCAGGACACTAAAAAGGTACGGGTTCCTTTAAGAGTGCAGGCTGCTTCAGCGGAGATTCGGAAAAGCAGATTAAGGTGCCTGGTGCTCCAGTCAAAGGAGGCTCCCCCAGAATAGAGCTGGGTAGTGGCAGAGATGGGAGCAGCACAGGAGAGGTCCGGAATTCCAGGACAGACAAGACCGCAAACAGACGGGTCACTGAAGAATCAGCCTGTATCAACTGGGGAGAAGGGACTGTGGAATAGAGAGGAGTAAAGGAAGAATCTGAATAATTGAAGTAATTGAGTAATTTGTGCTGGGTGATAAAGGAGCACGGACTGAAAGTGGATCTGGTTGCAGCGGAAAGTCATGGGAAATTTTGGGACAAGAGATACTGCAGGACAGTGGGCATACCACCCCAAGGATGATCTCATTTATTGCCCTCAGGAATCTCCTCTACCTATCATTATATCACACCAACCCTTCTGTTATAGAAGGGTTGTTGTATTCTCATTCTGTCCTCAGTAGTGTGCTATGTTTATGGATTAACATTTCCAGCTGTTCATCTTTTGTATAGTGTATGCAGAATTCCTAAAAAAACACTTAGTTCGGAGCTTTGGTTTGTATGGAAAAATTGCCATTTATGCCAATGTTATTTGTCCCAACATAAATAACAACAACTGGGTCTTGCATTTGTTGGGATCCTATTTATGCTTTGGATAATGTTACAATATATCCAATGTTACATTTATCTTAATCCTTGTTACTTAAAAAAAAAGATTTAATCAATACAGAAAATTTTAATTTAAGACCCTTTAGGTCCTACAGCTGTAAGGTGTGTTCTGGTAAGAAAATAAGTTTTCTCAACATACTGAATTTGGTGATAATGACAGAATGTCCTTACGGTGTCTGTTTGCTTGATAACTATGCCTTACCTTACAATACACAACATCATGGAATATTGTTTGTCCTGAATGTAAGGAACTTCAATAGAAGCTCTGATTATCTTAAACTTTTTATTACATGATTTATTACTTTTACTATTACTACTCCTATAGTTATTATTACTATAAATGAAATATTTTTTGTGTTTTTGTTACATGCATGTTTACATTTTGAGAATTTCTGAACTGATTTTTATTTTTAAAAGTTTTTTTACACTTGAATGGGAAAGATGTTCCAGAGCCTTTAACAAACGGATTCCCAACAACAAAATAATATAATACATGGATGATATTCACCTCTGCCTTGCAATCAAAATGCGCAAAGACAGGATTGTGCACAGTGCCCAAATCCATTGTGGTGGATTTCCTACAATAGGAGAAAAAACAAGTAGATATATTATTTTTTTATTCTGTATTGATGGATTAACTATTGTATTTTAAAAACACTGTACACATGTAGTCCCTTATATAATACCATCTGTTTTGACCTGCAAATACTAACACTGTTTTTATGCTGCATATTTTTTTCTTTCTCTGTAGTGCTTGTATTTTCTAATGTTAGGAAAAGTTAACAATCAAATAAATGGTGTATGCTACATCAATAATTATTTTAAAATATAACTTACCCAAGAGCATGTTTTCTTCTCTGCACAATCAGTATTATGCTTACAATTCCTAAGAGAATCACAAATAATCCAGCTCCCAGACCTGCAAAAATGCCCACTGGAGGAAAGAAACAAACCCATTAGTTTATCGTATCATGTACATTTTGACCTTTCACTTTTTAAAGAATATAAAAATGTACCTACCAAGCCTGTGTTGTTTTAACAACAACACCAACAACAACAACAACACATTTTATTTTTATAAAGCACCCTTTAAAGTTATATCTAAAAGCACTTTACAGTAGGTTGAAAAAAAACAGTTTAAAGGATAGCAAATTACAAAGTACTGTAAGTGCAGTAGGAGTTAGAAAATGAAGCAGACACAGATACCAATTAAGTACAAAGCCTTTTTGAACAAAAGGTTTTGGGTCTGGATTTCAATTCACTCAGGGTGAGTGACTCTCTGATATCCCTGGGGATAGAATTCCAGAGCTCTGGGGCATAGCAAGAGAAGGTCCTGTCACCCAGAGTGTAAACAAGCTTGGGGGATACATACAGTAGAAGACCACAGTCAGACAGTTGCAAGGTGGCGAGTAGACAGATAATGTACTGAAAGTCACATAGGTATTGAGGTGCCAAGCCATATAAAGGCCAATATGTGAGCTTGAGGATTTTGAAGTCGACTTGAAACCTAATAGGAAATCAATACAAAGGCTACATGAAAAGCGTAATGTGATTACTTGCAGTAGACCTGGTCAAGATTCTGCCTGCCGAATTCTGAACACATCAGAGTTTTTCCAGTTTGGATTTATTTACCCCAGTGAGCAGGGTATCGCAATAATCAATTTCACTGTTCACCAACTTTTCGGCAACAGTTAGAGACAACACAGGATGAATTCGGTGATGTTTCTGAAATGTTTACAAGGTTCTGTACATGAGGGTCATAAGTATAGCCAGGATCGAATATCGCCCCTAAATTCTTCAATTTTGATTGAAATTCAATCATAGTGCCATCTCCAGATAGGGTTACTGCATTAGTTCTATGTAGGTGATGTGTGGTGCCGAGTAGTATGACCTCAGTGTTGTCACAGTTTAAGCCAGGGAAAGTTTTGGTTATATCAGAGATTCAATTAGAGAGTGTAATAACAGCTATACCATTATCATGTTTAGTATGGACATAGATTTGAGTATCATCAGCACAGAAATTATAATATAAATAATGTAATTTTAATGTAAATGCTGAATATTGCTTGATATAGCCATTCTTGGTTGTAAAAAAGTGTTGTAAAGTTGGGATGAGGTAGGTAATACAGTGGGGCAGTTAGGCTTTAATGACTGATGGTGAAGAACAGGTATTTAGTATTGTTTAGGTTATTATCAATGATATGGGAGAAGTAGCTCGATCTAGAAGACTCCATTGCACCCTTGTATTCAATCAAGTACTCCTTTCAAGAATGTACAGTAGATGTACACTCAAGCCATAAAAGAAGCCACCTCCATTCGAGGGTGAGAGACTGCCTTCATTGAATGCAACTGGTCAGTACACCTTGGGGCATGGCGAGTATGGAAGTTTGATTGAGTTTCAACAGTAGCTAAGAAATCCTTACCCTTAAACTGGAATGCTGTAAATCAATGTAAATATTAGAATCTGCTGAAATATAGCAGAGATAATAAATCAACAAACTCACTTAAAAAGCATCATTATGCTTGGGGGGTCTATAAAATCTAACGATGATTGTAGACTGATGAACAGTGACATTTAAAAAAAGACACTCACAATTAGAATGCACAGATACAGTAACCAGACTTGCACAGAAAACTAAGTTCTACAGTAAATAACAACAAGGCCCCCGCCATAGCCAGAGATTACTCAAGACATATCATGGAGGAATAATCTGGTGAAACAGGAGACCTTCAGTTTGTTTGTGCCACATTTCAGTCAAGTACAAAAAGTTTTTTTTTTATCAGTGTGGAAGTCACTGTTGTTGTTTGCAGAATGGGTGTTGAATAAGGTTGATTTGCCTGTTTTCAGTGAGGCAGGGGGTTTGGTGCGAAATGCAATGTGTTCCAGACATGGAAGTCAGTGTAAACTGTTAATGTCTGCATCAGAGTGGGACAATTTAGGGGCCTGGGACTGAAAAACAGGTATAGTTTTTACTACTGTCACCTGAAGGAAAATGTAAAATGGTAGTGACAAATGCATGAATAATGAATTTACTTCAGAAAATTCAAAACGTCTTCCATGTTTCAAGCCTTTGCCAAGACAGCAAAACGTCATTTGTATTTTATTGTAGCATGTCAATTCAGTATGCAAGCCAGTTTGAAATGTGTTCATTTAATAAAACCCTATAAATGTTTAATGCATTTCATTAACCTTGGGTGATCTTTCTGTAGGACTCTTATTAATTTTTGTTTTACTGCTTGCAATAAGCACTGCAATAAAAGATTATTTGGTACATACATTTTCTTCTTTTTTTGTTATAAATATTATGCACTTCATGCATATACCGCAGTATTATTCGTATATTAGTGTATTCATATTACTTTATTTTTTAAAGGCAATATAAAATCTGATATAAATATTTATCCTAAACAATATTTCTTATTCTGCATAATTTAAATATTGGATATATTAATATAAAGTATATGTATATATATTAGATGTACAAACTCAAGGGAAACCTAGAATGGATTCCAAGAACACAAACTGACAGACTATTAGACTCCTGTACGATGGAAACAGCAAGAGCCAGCAGGATGAGTACGGCATGATGGGGACTAAAGACTTTGAGGAAGCCTTCATCCCTGAGGGCATCAATATATCAAAGAACTAAATGTGCATGCATTTCTACCACTGCATTCTCTGAAATTCCTGAAAAGAATGAATGCAAAATCAAATTTAAAAAGAACAAAGGCTTTTCAGACCACAGCAATTGTGGATTTGTCACTAATTTCAAGTCTTTTGAAAAGTCAGTCCAGTATGTATCTAAATTCATTGACCATTGCTTACAAAAAAATAATTGTGTCTCTTTGCTCAGTGGTAAAGCACAAGGCAGACACAGATCAATGGATTTACTGTACACTTGGATTCCAGTATAGGGTCAAAATGTACAACTATTGTAAGATGATTTCCATCTCACCAGTTTCATTTTCATTGTAAACGGTAGAGGTGGGGAGAGGTTTGGGTTTTTCTTTAAGGTGACAGCGGTTTCCCCTCCATCCTGATATACATCTGGGGAAAATAAAATATATATATACACACACATTAGATTCAGAGCAGCTGAAGCTTAATGTTTTACATATACAGTACATCAGCTATATTGAGTATTTGTATACTAAATTATGTATACCTGTGTGCATTATTGAAATTTTATTGCTCCTACAGTGATAACTGATACCACTCTGGGTACTCCTAGGCAGAAACTAACTTGCACAAATTTCTTAAATTTTCACTTTATTAAGCTGTGTTTAAAATGATCTGTTTCATAGCTGTTCGGAGCAAGCCAAAGGAAATAAACAAATCTCCTCAGGCAGAACATCACACCTCTGGTTCTTGCAGGCTTAAAATTAATAATTTACATAACTAGGTATGCACTTCTGTATTACAATTTAACATTCAATGCATGTCAGTGAATATGTAACTTGCTTGCTTCACATATTTTTGTTATGAGGAGTTTATTTGTATGCTTTGTGGTCTTCAGAAAGGTATCATGTCAGGTCAAAGGCCCTACAGTTTTTCAGTGATCGTAGAATGAATAATTTTACATTTTAAAAAAGTCTTCAGAATTTGATTTATCCTTGAAGAATATTTAAAAAGCTTGCAAAGTCTTGAAATAAAAATATATGACAGGAGAAGTGCAATTAAAAAGATCTGTTGGACTGTTAGAACAAACAACATCCATTGACACGAGTACATTTGCATAACACCTTTTGGGACATAGTTACAGCTGAAATATGACAAAGCCTAGAAATGAATCTAGTTTTGATTTAATGGATGGAGTGCATTTATAACAGCTAAACTACCTCACGAATATGTGTTGACTGCAAAAAGTGCCTTCCACAAGTATTGGGACAGTAAAGCCTAGACTAGGACTTCACTAAGAGCACTTAACAATAGTTATTTCCCATGATAAAATAACATGGCTGATAAGTACAACATATAAATAGTGTATTTCTCAATAAAGTTAACTCAGTTTTATCCTCTTAAGCCAATTAAAAATGTGTTTAGCCTACATGTACTTATTTTGAAAGAGCAAAAGTATTTGGGACAATTGCTTAACAGGTATATCTTGCCTGTCAGGTTCTTGTTATTGGGTAATTAGGCACTTGGGGCTAGTGTAGCATAGCAGGTAAGTCTGGACTCATGATAGCACTCATAAATAGTCGGTTGTATTGTAGGTTCAAATCCCAGACATCAAGTTGCAAACACTTATGTTGTACCCTGAGCAAGGTGCTTTTCACTCAATTGCTCCACTCAGCTAGATGTATAAATGGTAACCAGCATTACTGGGGTTAGGTCTTGTGAAGGACTGGTGTCCTATCGAAATGGGGAGTCATATGCTCACTGATTGTTTCATGCCTAGAAACCAGGATAAACACTGCCCTTATGCACCATTATGGTCTGCATGGAATTACATAACTAATAAGACACTCTGTGGCATTACACAGGGCTTGTTCCGAGTGGACGTAGATCCCTTGTCTAAGGGTGATGCATTGCCCTGACAACCACAGCTGAGATGGATATTCTAGGATGAGCCACAGCTGTGGGAGTCATTTAAGAACACACTGAACACTTCCCCAGAGGGACCAGTGAGCAGGACCTCAGGCCTGAGTTGCAGCGGAGAGAGGACGTGGAAGACAAGTTCTCCTATTTGCATGGCTCAGCTGTGAGAGAGAGTCGGGTTGAAGCAGGACCAAAGTGGTTGTCAGACGCTGCTGGTGCAACTATAACTAAGAATGCGTCTATCTCGAGAGAGAGAAAAAGAAGAAAGATTCAGGGCTGCAACTAACCCCCATGAGGGGAAAGTTTTAGAGTGACAGTCCCAGAGGGAATTGTGAAGAAAGTGTAAGGCCATCTTATTTTTTTTCTCTTCTCCTGCCCCGCCATGAGTACTCACCAGGACAGGCTGAGTTTCTCCTCTCCTGTTCTGCCATGAGTACTCACCAGGACAGGCTGAGCTTCTCCTCTTCTGTTCTGCCGTGAGTATTCACCGGGACAGGCTGAGTTTCTCCACTCCTGTTCTGCCATGAGTACTCACCAGGACAGGTTGAGTTTCTCCTCTCCTGTTCTGCCGTGAGTACTCACCAGGACAGGTTGAGCTTCTCCTCTCCTGTTCTGCCGTGAGTACTCACCAGGACAGGTTGAGCT